GAAAAAGACCACACTGGATGCCACTCTAGTTTAGAACATAAAACTGAGGCTACAATCCACTCGTGCTCACCAAAACCTGACAGCAGATGACTGGAAATATTAATAATAAAAACACCATCTCTCGTGCCAGCTGAGTCCACATTATTCTTCTCTCATGCACACACATACCAGTGATGCAATACACCTTCATACCAATGGTTTCACAATATTCCAGTGTTAAACAGCTGGCAACAGGTGCCAAAGAGACAAATACATTTATTATAATTATTACATCAATATGGCACCGAAAGCAAGAGAGAGGCAGATGGTTTGGGGAAAAAAAGAACATGGAGGTAAACAATTCAATACAAGTTCAAATTGTGCAAGAAGTCAACTTTAAAAATGTTTTATGAGGAAGGAAATGCATTCAGCACATTTGTTGAATGTATACATAATTTTTATTTACCAGAAAAGTTCACATGACATCTTTAAATTATTCGAAAACAGGCCATGAAGATAAGCAAAACAATGTGAAACTCTTGAATTTTTTATTATCCCACCGTAAAAGCTTTTTCCTGTCCAGAAGATCCTTCTCTGGAATATTTGTTGTATAAGTATCTGATGGACTTTTGGAAATTTCCCAGTATGACATCATCTTAATTTAGTATATGCCCTCAGAATAAAAAAAGATTTTTTTTCTCCAATGTTATTTTTACTTTGAAAAGTTCCTCAAAGCTGTTTTAATTTTCACATAGGTCCTTGTTTTAAATCATTTCAGACAGCTACCCAGGGCAATACCGCCTCATAATCTGCTGTCTACTTCTGCATTTCAGCACTTCGCTGCAGCTCTAAATCTAATTTTGTTAGAAGGCACTGATAGATGACAGACTGATATAATTGCTTCAGTATTTTCATTTTATTCTATTTAGAGTAAATGATTGAGACGGTGTGCACAATCAGTCAACACAAGCATAATGAACAACCTCTAAATGTGCTCACAACACAAGCTGCTTGCTCCAGGAGCAAAAGTTTCTCAAGCAAGCAAAAAAAAAATAAGCAAAAAAGAAGGAATTACAGTTAAAAACAAAACGGAAGCAAGAAACATAGCAAATCAAGTCGATATGAAGAATTTACAGTACAACTACTCTACTGCTGGATTGTTTCTGAGATGCATCAAAAAGTAAAGCAAGTGGACATGTACCCGAGTTGTTACAATGTTAAAGAATTGGCTCCTTTGGAGCATAAGCAATATGGAATATACCAGAAGATCAATGAACATATTCAGTAGTTTCTAAACATAGCAAGCAAATCGAAAAACATTTGGTCCTGCTCCAAACTCAAGACCATCCAAGTCTCACAGGGCTTACAGCTAATCAGTTTACAGTTGTGAGTCAAACATAGCCTCTGTGTCACTGAAATGATTCAGCTGTGGGCTGTAAAATTAAACACAGTCTGCTCCTTCTGACATGAGCATGTTGCTTCTTGGATGAAAGCTAAGCAGCTTATTTACAACCCCGTAAGACTGAGTAAGCCTGCAACGCCTCCGCATCAGTCAATACAGGCAGAGCAGAATAACAAGGTAAGTCAATATTGTAAGACGGTATTGAACATGACATGCAGCCCACCATTCACTGTGACAGCTGAGCTGGCAGAATGAGTCATCACCTGCATCCGACAGCAGGGTCGAGAAGAACAGCCACTAAATGACAGGAAATATTTAAATATTTTACACCTGTAATAATTCATCATGTGCTATAAAAAGCTCCGAGTGCTCATAATAATGCAGGCGATTCCCAGCTGCCTGTTGGGAGTAAAATACGACCAGTCACTTTTGACATGTTCGGCATTCTGATGTGCCGCCTAAGACTCCTCAGTTTGTCATTTTGATTTGTCATGTGTGCCTACATGGACAGTAAATGAACTGCACTCTGTTTGTGCAAATGAGCGTGAGTAAAAGAGACACACTTTATCAACAACTCTAAATGCATATTGTTGTGTACAGTTACGGCCTTGGGACATGACCCCTCTGTTTAGTGGAACCTCACTATTTTGGGGAAGCCTGAAGGAGTCCCTTTCTGAGTTTTTCCCCCTCTCCATGTGGTGCCTAAAAAAGGGCCTTAAGTATAGCTTTCCTTGTTATTACTGCAAATATCTACAGTGCATTTGTAGGAGCTATAGTAAAAACTCTGGGGATGTTGTCTGCTCATCTGTCATTTTCTTGATATTTCTGCAAAAAAGGCATTTATATTTTATACCTGTCTCCTAAGGGATTATTTTATATGTAGAAAACCTCCAATATTTCCATGATATATATGTATATATTTATATCTTATACCTGGTAGGCAGCTTCTTTATTTTACAAGAGAAAAGTGCTACATTTTTTAAGCAGCACTGTCTTTATTCTTCACCTAACAAAGACACTTGACCAGAGGGCACAAGATCAGTGAACAATGTCTGCTGGCAGATTTGCTTTCACTAAATAATCAAAAGCCAAAATAAAAGAGAACTCAGCTTAATTACAAGCTTAGGTATGACCCTGAGAACTATAATCCAAGAATTTGATGAATGTATAGTAACCATGAAATGGGTTGCTTCTGGAAAGAACACATGAATTTTAATGAGCCAGCGTATTTATTCAAACTGGGCTCGAGAGCTAAGCATCGTCTGTTAAATACTGCTGAAGGCTGCGTTGTGAACGTGGGCAAATAAAACTCTCAATCTAATGCTGGTACAGGTGCAAATCAGTCAGTTATTACCTTTGCTGTAATTTGGAAAGTTAAACTTTTAAAGAAGTGCACAGAATGACAAAGGGCTGAATTATCACAGAGTGATTCACTGAGCCAACAAAACTTATCAGACATAGCACGACCAGTTCTCTCCATGCAGTTCTGTGAATATGTGCAGAAAAAGAGGGACATCCAAAAATGCATGTTTCAGCCATGTGTGAAAGTTAAGCTACACTGTCCTTTCTTCTCTTTACCTGTGAAGTGTTTTGAAGAATCTCCTGTCAGTTTTTTTACATTAACTCAAGGTTTGATCCAAGGTTGATCTTTGGTTGGTGTAAAAAAACTGCTTTTCAAAGGCTTTCATGATCAAGAGGTCAGCGTTCAAAAAGCTCTGTCATCTCAGTCAACTTCAACCTGATTTTTGAATGTTTTCATAGTGATTATCTCAGTGGGCTGCATGCCTTTTGCATTTACTCTTTTCAGCATCTTGGAACAAACCCACAGATCGAGGATGGATTCTGGATGAACTGATGTTTATTCATATGCTCTTTAAAGAAAAACACATTCAGCAATTAAATTTGCTTTAGGCCAAAATTCAAACACAAATCACAGAGAGCTGCTTCAGACAACAACTTCCACCAGAAACTCACGACAAAGTCTCATATCTGTGTAGCAGCTAAAAGGAAAAAAAGGGAAAAGATCGTGTTACACAATTAACCTTACTGTCGCCATTCCAACACTGACATTTTTGTCATGGCCAAAAATATTTTGGAATGAACTCATTCAAGCTTGCATGTCCAAAAAGTGAAAAAACATAAATCTATTTTCACACAGTTCTTTAAAAACCTTCAACAAATTTAAGGAATCTGTGTTGATCATGTTCAAGCTGAGGAATTTGTTTTCGCTGCAGTACAATCAGGAACTACAGTTGTAAATTAGACATTTCAGTCAGGTCTCATGGGTCAGCATAACTTTGAGACCAGTGTAATTCAAGAGGAAGAATGTGTTGCCTCTGCACACCCTATGTTTTGGAACTTTTCTACGAATTTCACAGAAATCTATATTTTTAAGTTGTTAGTTGCAACCTGAAAGTATTGCTTTCAGGCTGCACATATATAGGAAGAAGGGGGCAAGTAGGTGGGAAAATAATGAGAGAGAATAGGACAAATAAGCACAGTCCCACAGTTAATGGAAGGTAAATGACTCAATTTCAAAACAAAACATAAAAAGAAAGGCAAGCAGAGAACTGGAATGACATATTCAAAGGATGGTGATAAATTACTAATGCAGAACTGTTAAGGCAGAAGAAAAGACTGAGTGCAGAGGGCAGAGGAGCAGAGATAAACCCAACCACAGCAGCCAATGAAATAGGGAGTGGAATGACAAAAAGTAAAATACCAGAGAGAAAACATGCCCAAAAAGTCAGCTAGCCAATCAAATATGGACAGAGTGGATTTTTGTTTTTAATTGAGGCATAACCGAGATTGCGGAGTGACGATAATAATAATAAGTCCCTATGATGACATACTGAACCCAGATAGGATCTAGGATATTTTCATTTTATCCACATCAAAGCAAAATGAATATCCTGTTTAGTGAAATAAATTAAACGAAGCGCAGCAGAAGTATAAAGGTTAGACGTTTAATTAAAACCAGAGAATTACTTGGAGGAAGATCTTTTATGAAATATTACTGTACTACACGTGGTAAATGTAAATTCAGCATATCCTGTAGTGATGAACTGAAGAAGCATAAACCATAGATAAATGTGTTCTTCTCCTCCATAAAATCTCTGGGATAACATTAATAAAGCTGGCAAGTTTGCCAACCAAATGAAAAACCAATAAAATAAACCATTGAAAGGTTATCTT